GAAGGGAAGGGAAGGGAAGGGAAGGGAAGGGAAGGGAAGGGAAGGGAAGGGAAGGGAAGTGGGGCTGGAACTGACTCTGGGGCAAGGTTGAGGCACAGCCATGAATTCAGGGGGTTGGGTGTACCCCAGCTTTTCTGGGTGACCTTGGATGAGCCATTTTCCCTCTCTTTTCATCTCTGATTCCCAATGGGGTTGCTGACATCAGTTTCCTTATTTGTAAATGGAGTTGAAACTCCAAAGGAGTTTAGAGAGTTGCTTCAGACTTTCCATCAAAATGCGTTCTCATAGAAAAATGATTTTTATTTTTCTTCTGCTTCTGCTAGCAGTGAAAAATTTAATAATTAAAACAAAGTTTCAACTTTTACAAGAAATCCTGCAAAAGAAAATCTTCTGAAAGCTCAGAAAAATTAAAGAAATGCAGGCAAAAAAAAAAAAAAGTTTTATTAGCTTTTTGTTTGGAGTATGAAGAAATTTAAAGAAAAATTCCTGACCAACCTAATTTTTTTCACCAGTAGTTTAAAGAGACTGCAGTGACTTCTTCACTCTGTGTTTTTTAGAGATGATAAGACATGAGAAAAAAAGAGGTGCTCATTGTCAGGGAATTTATACTGAGTTTTTTTTCAAGTGGCAATTTCCATAAAGAAAAGAACCAGCAGCTAGTTATCATATGCCAAGAATGCTAAAAAATCTGGAAAGCAAAAGAAAACCTTTTTTACAGCATGTAAACACATCTTGTTGGCTTTTGGAGCCAGCAAGAAGAACTGATTGTGGAATGTCAGGAAACATAAATAGTCTCCTTTTTTTGGGAGCTTTGTTTGGAGTTTGTAAAAAATCGTGCCCAGGGCTCTCCTGATTTACACCTGGGGACCTGAGGCACTGCCATAATACACAGAATATTGGTTGTAACTGCCAAAAGAGAGATTCTGGACCCAAACACATGGGAATGTTGGAGAGATTCAGCTCTGATTTCAAACCCATGCTGGCTACTCCCAAAAAATCCTCAAATCCTTGATTTCCATCAGATGCTGAGCTGAAGGAGGAGTTGGGGGTGGGGGCAGAAATCTCTCTGTGGTCTTAGCATTATTCTTGGTGTCACCTCACCCAGACGGGGACGTGACAGAGCCCAACAGCCTCAGATGTCCAGGGAAGCCTCCCACAGGTAAACGGAGCCAAATCCTGCAGGATTTGGTCCCATGGATGAGGATGGAATTCCTTCGTTCCTCAGCCCATCCACCTGGCAGCTCTCCTGCATGGGAGAGAGCCTGGCCTTGCTTTTCATCTCTGTACCAAAATCAGCATTTATTGAGGAGAATGGGCTGGGGGAGACTCCTCTGCTGGGTTTTGTGCCTCCAAACACGCCCGGCTGGGAAAGCAGAGCCATGTGAAGCTCCAGGGTTCTGTTTCTCCAGGATAACTTCGACTCCTCCTGCACGTCCAGTCAATGGGAGCTCGTCCCCTTTGAGTCTCAGTGTGAGAGTTCAGTTCAGGCCCCCAAACCAATATCAGGCTTTAAAACCACTAAGTTCAGTTTACTTTTTATTAACCCTCTCCCAAAAATATCAACCTTTTCTCGGAATGAAAACCTTTGAGACAAATGGCAGAATTCTTGAGGTTTTGAGTGAGAGCAGGATCTTCATTCAAAGCTGGACACATGGGTTGCTGAGCTTTGCTCTGGGCTGCAGAGGTCAGTGGGGATAAAAGAAGATACAAAAAGTGGCTCAAATTGTTAAAATTTGACACCATGGCAATAACAAAGCTCCGTGTTCCAAAGCAAATTAACCATGATGAACAGTAAGGGCAATAGGCAAAGATAGCTTGTTTTCTGTCTGATCCTGGTTTCTGAGGGTATCATCATTACTTCCCTGAACAAAACCAAAGCTAGGAGTGTTCTTAAACACTCCAGTGGCTTCTGGACACTTCTTCTATTTTTGTTGATTTTTTTTGTGTGTGTTTGTTGAGTTTTCTGTTTTAAAATTTTGATAAATTCTTTTTGCTTGCTGCTTGTTGGAGATAGTCTGTCAGCAACCCTGAAAGTCAAAAGTAGGGGAAAAAAATTCCTTTAAAATAGTAGTGGTCTCTTTGCACACTTTGGATATGTTAATTTTCATTGTAATTGTTAATATATTCACCAGGCAAGGTAATGAATGTGTAGAGTTGTCTATTAGGTTTGAAGGGATATTTGTGCATCCTGCCAGTACAGAAACCTGTGAGCAGAGTAAAAGCAGAGTCAAAAAACCACAGTGCAGTAGAGTGGCTTATTAATTTTATTATTTAATTCAGTTTTGGGCCATAGCTATCTCTGCTGGTTTTTCCCCAAAAAATTATTTGTGCAGCTGTTGTTATTAAGTCCCTCCTTTCCCAGACACTTCCAGGCATTTAACTTTCCTTATGCAAACAGAATTCTGCAGCAATGCTCATCCAAATGTTTTAATTCCTATCCATGTTCTTCTGCAGAACTAAGTATTTTCATTTTTCAATGGAGTAGTGCTTGTCAAACCTCCAGGAAACATCAGGATTCTCCTTTTCTTCTGTGGTTATTCAACAAAAGAGCAGAGAAAATCCTTCTATCAAAGTTCTCATTTAAATCACTACTGAAACCTGGGCCTGAAAGGGTCTCGTCCAGCACCATTTTTGCTCTTTAATGGAGCCTGAATGGAAGCCCAGACCTGAGGCTTTGTTGATGAGACAAAAATACAAATAGGAGACGTGGAAATAGTGCCTTACAATGCATCCTACTGAGTTTTCCAGCACAAACCATGGTTACTCATAACTGGAAAAGTGTCAAGCTAATGCTTCTGATTAAAGATGGGTGTGAAGTTGCAGAGTTTGGGCTTGGTTTGGCTCATCCCCAAAGTTCCAAGGCACTGGGATCCAGTGTCCAAGCCTGGCTCCAGCCTCACTTCCCGAGCCATTACATGATTTAGATATTTCATACTATACTGGTAATGTATTAAGACAAATTAAATGTTAGGTTTCACGTGTATCATTAAAAAAAATAGGGGAGGTGGGGAGAGAAAGGGGAGGAAAGGTTACATTAACATTGTGTTGTAAATTTAACGCAGCTCCAGATGCCTGAAAGTTGTGGGGTTCTTTTACTATAATTCTTCAGTTTGGAGAGCAACACCAGCTGCTTTGTGATCCTCTTGCCTTCCTTTTTTAACCAAATGCAATGGTTTTGTGCTGTTGAAAACTATGTTTTACATCAGAAGTTAAGGAATGTGTGATCATTATTTGAGTGAGGTTTTTTCCCCCTGTAGTAACATGATTTTATTGTGAATCACTACTTCAATGCCTGTCAGTGGCTAAAGTAGGGAAAGGGACTCTTTCAAGAACTAAATGAAAGAGAATATTTCTAGAACTAAGGGATACTTGCATAGTTACTTGATGGCTGCCCAAAACCCACAGAGATTGAGCAATATATCCCTGTGAATGTAACTGAAACAAATATTGGGTTGTTTATCAATTAAAATATTTCCAAATAAAGCTGGTGGGTGGAAAAGTGAGGCAAAAATCATCCTAAAATTACTTATTCAAACACAGGGTTTGAGTTCAGCTCCTCTGCAAATTGAAAGTACATAGGCATTGTTAGTCAGGGCTGTGTTCTCAGTGAGGGATCCTCCCAGGAATGGAACTTAAAATAAAAATAAAAACCCCAAAAATGATGCCCTCCATTTAATGAGGAATTCTCCTGCAGAACTTGATTGAAGCCCAATGATACTTTAATGGTAATGACCGGTGTGTGAAGGGGGATAATAATTCTGGAAAATTAAGATGAGGCTTTTCAGCTGAGATGCTTCAGCTGAGACCTGGTGCTCACACATTAGGCTCCTGTTGATTGGGAATTCTGTTTCCTCCAGGAGCACAGTGATTAAAAAGGTCCTGG